CTTGTTAAAACAAATTTCGATATGCATCAAAGTTTGTAAGAATTTATGCCAAGCTTATCAAAAGAAAAGGGCTTCAATTTATTTTACAAGAAGGTTGCATAGAATGCATTATAAAAAATCTCTTTTTTTACAAGCAGGTTGCATAGAATGCATTATAAAAAATCTCTTTTTATATTGCTATCTGCATGTAAAAAAAATCTTATTTATAAATAGATTAGAATTAAATGTATAATGATGTTTTAATTTGTTTTATTTTATTAAACTCATATAAGAATAATATGTTGCATTTTAATTCGGCACAAATATATGCGATTTATCATTGTTACCTGAACATCCAACCATTTTATTTGTTTCTTTATATGTAGATACTGAGATTTCCCAAACACTTTCCAGGGAGGGAGCTCTGTAACAAAAAAAAAATATAAGGTGAAACATGCGGAGATAACGTACAGTATTTTGAGTTTAAAGTCCGTAAAATGGTACCAAATAGGGGCAGAGGAGACAAGGACCTCCAAAACATTAGTAATGAGATCAGTTGCCATGTGATGTTTTTTTTTTCATGATCGGGAAATAACGGACAAATTCGTCGTCAATTCAGTGTATAAATATTAAACTAACAATTAGTATCAAAATTTTCAGTCAGCATTTGACTCAATGATGAAATGTATACTAACAATGTCATCGTATGACCATAAAACTTACCAAATGAGGAGTTCCTACGAGACTGCTGATAATCTTGTTTATTTAAGATGTTTGTCAATAATTTAACTCGTTTTAGAAAATGTTTATCTGAAGACCATTATTTTGTGTTTCGATTCAACTAAGATATATAAACTACGTATGCAGGTGAAGGTATTAGTACATTGCTGCATTATTGAAGTAAGAAATTTGATGATTGAAATTTAAAATCATTATGTTTATCATAGAGAGTGGTTGTTAGGTAACCATTAACATCTTTTTAAAGTAAAATATCCAAGTACGAAACAGATGTGCTTCACTCCTTTTTTATCTTTTACCCCCGCATCACTCTCGATTTATACATTGAGCAGAGTAATGTAAAGATCGAGTAAAAGATGGAAAATATTTAACATGTTAAAATTCACTGACACCTCTCAAATAGCATTTTAAAAGTAACAGATGAATTGAAGTATAAAGTTGTTTATTCCATTTATTATAATATCACATAAAACAGATTAAAATCACTACGGGTATTACACAATGAACTGGAGGGGGGGGGGGGGCAATGCATTATTGACGCGGGTCTAGTCGCACAAAGTGTATATCATGCGCTGCCTAATAGATTAAAAGTTTAATGCACATAGAAAATTCTTTTACAAAGACGTTAACGTTACACATATCAAACGTTACACGCATCAAAGTTTAACAGTCGAAAAGAATTAGAAAATCATGTATATTCACGCGCACAGCCCGACTTTAATACATGTAGAGCCTTCGGGTTATCAAACTGTTTTATATTTACAGGCTTATTTGGTGAATGTATCATAACAAAAATTGAACTAAAATAAGATTGCAAGGTATTTCTGTGAATCGCACTATTCAGCAATCTCAATCTTTATTATGCATAATTCTTGTCATGGGATAAGCTTTCATATTAACGAGAGTTCTAATGTATACCCTTTAATTAAACAATTCAGTATGTATAATGCTGATAATCTGTAAACTTACATGCACAGCAATTTACTTAATGAACAATATGTACACATAGTGTTAAGGAGGGGGATGGGGTATTTTCCTGATAATGAAAAATATAAGATTTCTAAATACACTAGATACACTTACAGGCATTATTACAATCCATTTCCCTAAACTCAGATCGAACTTTCTTGAGGTTTTCTTAATGAATGGCTTCACTTTGATTTTGTTCTCATCTATTCATGATATTTTTAAGGGGGGAACGCAGGATTTATCTGTCTCTAATCTTACATCTTAACATTTTGATTTAGTTCAACCTCTCTAATCTCTAAGTGACAAATGTACTGTAGACGTACTTTTTTCCGCGGGGTCATAATTCCGCGGAATTTCAATTTCTGTTTAATCCGCGGGTAGAAAATTACGCTGATTTTCTTGACCTTTACTATATGCCTTACATTTATATTAAGTACCCTTGGACAAATTTCCGCGGATTATCTATGACCGCGTACATAGCGTTGATTAATACCACGCGGAAAAAAGTACTTCTACAAGCAAAATGACATGTTAAGGAATATAAACCATTCAATTGAAATTAAATCAATTAAATGTATTTTTATCTTTTTTTCTGCAGAACAAAAACTTGTCACATGTCCTGTGATTAGCTGCAATGATCAAATCTTTTGATTTTAATTTCCAATAATGAATAACATATTGATACATAACATAAATCTAAATTTCGATATGACCATGCAACGTCATTAGTTAGGGTAAACAAATACAGAGAAGTATATTGATCAACAAAATAAAAGTGATTTAATATTTGCCATGTAAGTTTACCCATATATTGTTGTCCTTGATCCTTTTTCTCCTCTGTTGTTATTTGTGTGGTCGTTGTTGATGCTGTCCTTGATGCTGACATATAGGTCCAACGGGTCGGGTGTTTGTATATTTGTTTGTGATATAATTCTAAGTGATTATCTTTTTTTATTTAACACATGTCACTTTAATAAAAAAAAAAATAAATACTACATTGTAAATTGAATTTATAATACTTAGGCCAATCCCAGCAGCTTTATGTACTTAAGAATGCCGAAATGATAATTGATATTATTATATAGTCTATTAATAGTCTCTATTTAATCTATACAAACGCAAACAGTTCATAACACTACATATTCACCGGATTTTAGGCCGTATTCACCGGAGGGTCAATGCGCGTGCAACGGCATTGTGGTGTCACAATAAAAACGTCGAACAATGTTGTAAACGATGGTTGCAACGGCCGCAGCGAGCTACGTATCTGAGCAGGAAAACAATTATTCAAACCTATTTCAGGATTATTTTTTTTTATATTTGGAGGTCTTACACATAGAAAAACTCGGAAAGGAAAACACGGAGGTTACAAACAGTTATCTGGAGATATTTTTTTTATTTTCAACAATGGAAGATCGCAAATGAAAATGTTGTCGTCATACAACCTTCAATGTCTTATCTATTCAAATCCCGACTATATAATAAAACAATTATGGACTCTTTTGGTGTTGAATATGGTTTGTTATTCACCAGAAAAATATCCATATTGACCTCGGCTTTGCCTCGATCAATATGAATATTTTTCTGGTGAATAACAAACCATATTCAACACCAAAAGAGTCCATAATTGTATAATATTATATAAGATTATTTTCGTAGTTTTCATTGGCTGAAAGGACATCACGTGATATTCCTCTTTTTGTGATAACGACGCGAAAGCGCGTCGGTGGAAAATGATTACGCACGACACAGCGTTCGGTTGCACTGTAGTTACGTAAAACGTGACGTCATAGTATGAGAAGCGTATTTTTAACCATTGTGACGTAATGACAGCCAAGTCTGTTTAGTTAGGACTGTGTCAGTGCATTCACTTTGAGTGATTATGTAATATAACTGTCATGGACTTCAGTGAATGGTCAATATGTGGTTAGAAGGACTCATGGCCATTGATATTGACCTCAGACAAAGAAAATGATAGCGACCTCGCAGGCTCGGTCGCTATCACTTTCTGTGTCTTCGGTCAGTATCAATTGCCACGAGTCCTTATAACCACATATCAACCTACACTGAAGTCCATAATTGTATAATATTAAATTTAATGGCATGGTTTGAAAGCAATTTAATGCTTCGGGAAGCCCTAATATAACAACCTGACTAATTATTCATAGACTCATTCGTTTATTTCCCTTTCATATTTCCTTTCAAATAAAACCTAGTGACAAATATAGATTCTGTGTTGGAGTACTTCCACATTATGTATTATATCGACAAAAATGTTCTGCATGAAATTTAGGGATATAGCGAACTGTATTCATTCTCAGAATTCCATAAAACATATTGCAAAATGGAGCAGAACACGTCACTGAAAGAATAGATGTTATTGTCAAACGGAATTCTACAGCCTAATTTAATTTAAAAAAAATGCTTGCATGAATTCTAATTTAATTCTTTTGGTCTACCATTTCAAATCTATCATTGGGTTGAATTTTAATGGAAATAGTATATACAAGTTGCATGTGCTTTGTTTTTGTACTAATAACTACAAATTTTCTCATCTATCTATCATGACGTAGGTCTAATGGCGGATGAAAAGGAGTTTGTTTTTTTTTATCCCTAGCTTTCTAATTAAAGAAGAAGGTATGGTTTTAGCTTTCTTGCGCCCTTAAAATGTAATGACATCAAAAAGTTTTGAAACTGGCTTAAATATTAGTTAAATAAATGACTCTGATAAATCAGGAAGGAATATGGCATGAAGGTTTACCATTCTGCAAATATGACGTCATTAATGTGAAGCATTTCGAAGAATTAGGGGCACATAATTTTCAACAGAAAAAAGCTTCAAAATAGCATATTTCAAGGGTGGTTTTCCTTTAGAAAACAGTGTCCACAGCCGTCGCCCACGTTAATTTTTTTATATTTTGTGCAAAATTCAATAACAAATCACATATTTCAAGATCTTTGTGGGCAATGCCTGTGGACAATGTTATCTGAAGGAAAATTCCATTGAAAATTGGTGTCTTCTTTTTCAGAAAATACTGGAAAATGCACATGTTTATGACGTCATAATTAGCATTTAAAAACACATTTGAGAAAAATGACTTGTATGATTTTTCTGCATTGAATTTCAACTATTTAAAAAAGCATGAGTTTTCAACTTTTACACCAGTTTCATTTTTTAGAAAATCTCGGGGCAAAATTTGAATGGAAACGATACCTTCTTCTTTATGGAATTTCCAAATAAGTAAGCTACATTAGCTTTGTGCACTTAATTTATTATTCAATTCCGACAAATATGATGAAGGTATTTTTACAGAAAATAAAAGTCTTCCAAGGTTCAAATTGAAATAAAAATCTTGTTAATTTTCTCGCGCTCAAACAATTATCCGCTCACACATGAAAGATGCTTGATTTGAGTCACAATCCCAGTCATCCCAGGCCATATCATAGTCAGCTGTCAAGCAAAGACATTCGTCGCCTCCCGATGCGTCAGGTTTGTTAGGTGCCCAATCACTGAAGGTAATCGGTTTAAATGTTGTGGACCATCTCCATCTGTTCTGTGAGAAGGCGTCTGTTCCTCCAATAATGGTGTTACCTTAAAATAAGGTAATATGTGGGTATTTGTTTAAGTAATCGTATTACCTATAGCCAGAGACGTGTTCCACAAATGTTAAATCTCTGGGAAATACATGAAAATTAATTTCAAATTCAGCAAAAAAATGTGTACATTACATTCAATATGAACCATGGAGAGGGGGATTTAGTAATTTATTCGAAAACTGAAAAAAAAAAAAAACTTTAATCAAAATGCATATAATTTTAGAGCTGTTTGGAGACAATGACAAAAACAGTTAATATATATATATATTATAATTATTATATATTATATATTATAAATTGGTTGAAAATAAAAAGCGCTATACTCTTTAATATTTTGAAAAAAAAAACATTTTAAATATTAATGATAAACTTATGGCAGTCCACTTATTTGTCAATGGACTATTTTCCTATTTTGATATTTTTTTTTTGAACGTAAATAACATGTCCACAATATGTGGTATATAAAACAAAATGTTAGGATGCAAGTGAAATTAATAATTGTGTGACATGTGCATACACGTAATTTTTAAAAGCTTGAATATCAATAAAGTTGTTAAACAACGTGAAATTTCGGTCAAGTTATAAATTTTGTGAAAATGTATCCCTTTCTTGTCACGCTGATAAATTATTGACATAGGTTGGGGGAAAATGTGCATTGTTTTTCTGGTTGTCTAGTGGCATATATATATATATATATATATATATATATATATATATATATATATATATATATATATATATATATATATAGAAAGCATTAAAAAAACCAACAACACTGTATATCCTAAATTGAAGCATCATATTGAAAGATGATACAAAACATGTATGTAAAATGAAGATTTGGTGAGAGAGCATATCCAGGCTTTTCTAAAAATGACCAACGACAGGCAACAATAAAAATTGTCAAATTAGGCTGAGATGCTTCTTTTACTGACGGACATATCTAAAGAGTTAAAAAGTCATAAGAACAACTATCCATTTTCAGAAAGCGAAACAAAAAACAACTAGCACTACTACTAAACTACTAAACACTATATATTTACATATTATATATATGCATGTTGATTTGGAAATTTTAAAGAACACAATAAAATTTTAGAAAGAAATTCCACCGCTTTTGAAATGCGTCCGGTCTATATATATATATATATATATATATATATATATATATATATATATATATATATATATATATATATATATATATATATCGTACATGAAGTACATTTTAAAAAACTAATTAGAAAAATAGAGCTTACCATTATTACTCTTCCTCGTAATATTCTTCAAAAATATGTTTTCTTCTAATGTCTCTATTTCAGCTAATTTTGCCCCAAGGTTTTGACATTCAATCTGTAGTAATTTTCATATTAAGATAACGTTTAAAAATAATTAAACATCAATCTTTACAACCTACTAAACTGTTATGCAACATATTCGTGTCATAGAAATATAACGTTACTTTTTCCCCGCAAGAATTTTATGGCACCGTTCAAGTATCTTTATATTTTAGCGTAAAAAATATGACTTAATATTTCACTAAAATAATAACTTTTCTTCATTAATGAGATTTTTGAAAGTATAAAATAAAAGGAAAATGGCATTTAATTGAAGATTAAATGTACTTTTTTTAAATTTGCGCGATTGTAGAGATTGAAACAGTAAGTGCGTGATTTTGCGTGAGAAATAAGACATCGTTAAAATGCGCCACTGCAGGGAAGAGGGTTAAGTCAATTTTAATTTTGTTTATCAAGGGTTGAAATGAAAAGCAAAGATAGCAAAGTTTATGCTTTTTGAATCTTAAACAGGAGTAAAATCAGCTGCAATGATTTGGTAAGTGAAAATCCGTAGAAAATTAGCATGACAATGTTTGCACAGGAATAAAAGACACCATTCAACATCAACATGACGACCGATTGCATTCGCAAAAAGTACAGTTTTCGATAGTAGAAAACGGTAACTCTTTACTTTGAAAGAGACTAATGATAAAGTTAACTTGGTTCATCCACTTATTTGTCAATGGACTATTTTCCTATTTTGATATTTTTTTTAGATATAACATGTCCACAATATCTGATCTTGACAAAATGTTAGGATGCAAGTGAAATTAATAATTGTTACATGTGCATACACGTAATTTTTAAAAGCTTAATATCAATATAGAGGATTCATTGTGAGTGTGATCGGTCGACAGTAGATGTGTATCCCTTCTTGTCACCTGATCAAACTCTGACGCTTCCTAAAACGTGCATTGTTTTTTATCTTTTCTGAAAAACGCATCGACACATTTAAAAGTTCATTGTTTCCACACTTTCTGTATAATATCACGACTTATATATTGCAATAGCACTTTTCACAAAAAATATTTTGAAAATATTATTTCACCTAAAAAATATTGAAACTGGTTTAATTGATACATTCTTGAACTTTCACAAATTTCAAATTTATTCTTATGTATTGAAGAAAAATATTAAAACTTTAATCCAGAAAATTTTGATGTGATGTTATAATCTTTTTAAATATACAGCAAGATTGACACTTTTCTCTAGTATCATACAGTAGAATTAAAATTTGTGAAAGTGCTAGGATGTGTCAATCAAACCTAAAACAAAAGATTGAATGTTTAAAAATGTTAAGATTAAATAAGATTTTTCATATATTTTCGTGTGAGATGATTGTTAGTCCATTATTTATACACTGAATTGACGACGGATTTTTTCCGTTATTTCTTGATCATGACAAAGAGCACACGGCGGGTGTGACCGGTCGGCATGGGATGCTCACTCCTCCATGGCACCTGATCCCACCTGTGATGTTTCGGGGGTCCGTGTTTGCTCTGCTGACTCTTATTTTTTTACTGTTTTATGGACTTTGAGATTAAATACTGTTCGTTATCTCTATATCCTTCTTCATGCTATTAGAATGTACAACTCGTGATATTATACAGAAAATATTAACTTTAAATATGTGTATATGCTCCAATGAAGATGTATTGATTTCGAGTAAGTGCACATTTGTGCACTTGAATATGGAAAAATTTACAGTGGATATAAAGTGTTAACAAATCAAGCGCGCCAACAGTTGAAAGAAGAATATGACGATAACAAACGATAACAATCAGTATTCAATCTCAAAATCCATGAAACAATACAAAATAGGTGCAGAGCAAACACGGACATCCGAAACATCAGACCTGGGATCAAGTGCCATGGAGGAGTGAGAACCCCTGCCGACCGGTCACATCCGCCTTGTGCTCCTTGATGTAAAGAATGTATATGTAGTAGTGTGCTAGTGGATTTATTTTAAACACATTATAAAATAAATTCAAAATTAGTTTAAGATATCAATCAAAATGTCAGTTATATTTTTTTCATGAACTTCTTCTTCTTCTATTTTAATATTATATCAGAAAGAAGTTTCCATATTATTTCTGGTCAGTTTTTCATGGATCAGTGAATTCTTGTTTTGGTTGGTTTAAAGTATAAGTCATGTGATTTCTATTGATATGAGTATTTTTTTCAAATAGAGTCTAGTGTGTTCATTTTGATCTAGACACAGAATTTTGTGATTTGTTAACCTTGGACTTTATTTATCCATGGAAGGTCAGTTTCTTTTAATATAACATAGTCATTTATTTGATGAATAGTAAAAGCTTATGTGTGAATTATTTAAGATGAGTTTATTAGCAAACAGTATATGATATGTTTTTTATTGATTAGAACCCTTTGATAGATGTAGGTAGCTGTAACCCGATTGATGTAGCTGTAGCTAACTAGTGTCCGATACCATATATAGGGTAAGATACGTTATGTATATATTTTTGTATCATGAAATGCGTGTCTGTATATTTTGTGTTTACATGCACATTCCATTGTTAAGGCCGTGTCACACTGTCACGATTTTTGCTACGATTCCACACGACTTACAAAACCCATAAATCGCCAACAATCGCCACGCAAGCCTAGCATTTTTTTGACAGAGGGTGATTTTTTCCAGTGTGTCACGATACGACTACGATGTCCGCTCAACAATGTACGAGGCTTATACGACAACAGAACGAGTTTTGGCGAGTAATGTACGAACAAAGACGATAAAATAACGAACACAATACGATCCTTATACGAATTTGTACGATAAGACACGACTTTAAACGATGCTCTTACGAATACCTACAAGTCTGCACGATGCCTACACGGTATTCCCACGAACAGTGACGAGTTCTTACGAATATACTTGGTTTGAGTAGATATATAGAGAGAGGGTTGCTTGAAATTTCGAAGTTGTATAATTATGGCAGAGTTACCGTGCGGAGGCTTCAACTGCTGCAATATTTGGGGGAACTGGAACAGAATATTGCAGAAAATGACAAGGCAGTTGCAAATTTATTACACAACGGGCGTCCACAGAGGCAAAGAAGAATATACTGGATCTAAACATGGATCACCAGATGTACTTATTATGGATACCGGTATTTTGATCGCTTGATGAAAGAACTTGAAACGGAGATTGTATTGTCATTCAAAAACTTCCCAAGAGTAGAGCCAGATATGTTTAGAGAGCCTGTAGACAGACTACAAAAGACAAGACACGTGGTTCAGAAAAGCTTTGGAACCTGGATTAAAGCTGGCCATTACACTTCGGTATTTAGCTACAGGAGAGTCAGACACAAGTCTGATGTACGGATTTCGAGTTTCACATAATACATTTCCTTGCTGGTTTGTGAAGTTTGTGAAAGTATAATAGTGGAATATGCTGATGAAGTAATTGCATGTTCAACAACTACAGATGAGTGGCAAAAGTTAGTTGAGCAGTTCAGAATTAGATGGAACCTAGACCATGTCCTTGGTGCTTTAGATGGGAAGCATATTGCTATAAAATGCCCCCCAAAACGAAGGTTCATTTTAAAAAACTACAAAGGGTTCCACTCCCTCATTCTTAAGGGCCTTATTGATGCTGATTATAAATTCATTTGGGTTGACGTAGGTGCAAATTGTTCTGCATCAGATGCTACTGTGTTTAACAACTCAGAATTAAAAGATGTCATCGAAAATCAAAATATTGGATTTCCAGAAGCTGCCCCTAAACCATTGATAACAGAAATATCCCGTATTTCATCGTGAGTGATGACGCCTACCCTCTCAGGACATGGCGTATGAAACCTTTCGCAAGGACTTTGACCAATGAGGAGCGTATATTCAACTAAAGACTCAGCAGAGAAATGCGTGTTGTAGAAAATGCATTTGGAATACTCGCAAAAAGGCCTAGGGACCATAAAACTTAGACGATCGAGTTCACTTTTGATCTCAGTCTCACTTTTACCACAGGAATATAAAGTGAAAAAGTGAGACTGAAATGAAAAAGTGAGCTCATCTAACTTTTATGGTCCCCAGGCCTGATGGCAATGCCTCATAGCTCCAATGCGTAAAGAACCAGAAACTTTTTCATCTATTGTTGCTGTTTTCATGATTTGATGCGAATGATATTTCCAAATCTCCAAAACGCGTACAATCGTACTATTTCGCGGTTCACTCGCACGGTACTTGTATTGCATTCGTCGTCAATCGCCTGTTTTCGTATCATATTCGCATGAAATCGTACGGCATTCCTTTTGAGTCGAGAAACACTCGGAAAAACTCGTGGGACACTCGCAATAAATCGTAGGAAAGTCGCAGAGTCGGAAGTTCTACGAATTTTTGCGAGTGTCCTACAAATGTCAAAGATTTACAACGATTATGTGTACGAGTGTACTTCGATTGCTGTACGATCGCTTACGGATAATTAAAAATCGTACTGTGACCACGATTGTTTTGAACATGCTCAAAACAATCGCCACGTTTGGCGATTGGCTGCGATGAAACACGAGTTAAGAAGATATACTACGACTATCTCTACGATGAACGCCGAATTACCGCGATTTTTTAACTCGTACTCTGTCGTAGCCAAAAATCGTGACAGTGTGACACGGGCTTTATGTGAATCGTACTGTGAAGCATATCTATTTCATTAATAGTAGTGATTTATAATTAAATTACTGCTGTATTATTTTATTCACTAAAATTTATAATAATTATGATATACAAAGAAAGTAAATCATATATAGATTATTATTATTTTATCCGAATATTATCAATTTCATGGTAGAGCGAGAAATAGTATTTATGGAAGAAATAATTATAGAGTAGGTTATATTATGAAGCAGGAAGAGTTATCTCTCTTTGTGTATTTTATTGCATGTGTGATATTGTGTGTTGTATTTATTTCAGACATTTGTTATTGCTACATAAAAGATCGAAACATCATAGAATCTTTCTTGTTACTATGTGAACCCGGTAACATATATAGTATTCCATCATTTGTGCATCTATTTGCAATATTTTTTTTTCTTATTTCGTTTTCAAAATCGTCAAAATGCTTTGAATGACAAATTGAAATGAAAAGTTATATAATACAGTAAAAGGGTGTTTGATTTCATCGGTTTCCGTTACAAATGCTTGTTAAATTTTAGGTGTTGATCATATATGAAAATCAGAAATCAAACTCAAACAATTTTTTTTAAAAAACCCTGATTTACACGATCATGATTTTTACATTTCACTGTTGTATCAGATGTAGAGTTGAAAAAAGAAACACATAAAAATGATGTGTTATTCTTTGGGGAAATGTAATCAGGAAGACGTGCAATCACCAACTAAAAACCTAATTAATAGAACAATTTTTAAAAAGAGTAAAAAAAAAAAAAGAAAACTTATTTGAAAAAATTAAGATTCTTGTTTAAACAAATTTCGAAATGCATCAAAATTTGTAAGAATTTGTGCGAGGCTTATTAAAAGAGAAAGGTTTCATTTTTTATACAAGAAGATTGCATAGAATGCATTATAAAAAGTATCTCTTTTATATGGATATATACATGTAAAAATAATCTTATTCATATATACAGTCTCGTGTCAAAAGTATTCGTAAAAACAAAATGGCGGCGATGTAAACAAAATTAGATCATCCATGTTTTTCTTCCGTCTACATCAAATATAAGTTTAATCTTACCTCAATATTTTGTTAAACACCCCCTTTGCCTTTATTACTGCTTGGATTCTGCGTGGAATACTCCTGTAAAGGTCCTGGATGAAGTTAGGATGGATATTTTCCCATACCTGTCGAATGGCCGTTTCCAGATCATTTGCGGTTCTCAAATTCTGTGCCCTTTTACACAGTTCCTGTTTAAGTTTCCACCAACAGTTTTCAATTATATTCAGGTCAGGGCTTTGAGCAGGCCATTCCATTGTCGGAATATTCTCATGTACCGTAAATTCCTTCACAGACCTGGCCCTATGAACGGGGGCATTGTCGTCTTGAAAAAGGTAATCATTTGATGGAAAATGCGCAGCAACGACGGGCGAAAGATGATTGTCAATTATCTCTATATATTTCTGAGCATTTATGTTCCCATCTACAACACAAAGTGTGCCGCCTCCATAATAAGTTATGCATCCCCAGATCATTAAATCCTAACGTCGCCCGGCGGGTGGTGCAATACAAGGTGCGTCCCATTCCTTACATTCATCTGTAAAAATTACTTTTTTCCAATAGTCATCCACAGTTCTCTTCGTTGCTTCTTTGCATCATTTCACACGCTTTGTTTTATTTACTTCGCGCACACGCATTTTTCTTTACCAGTCTTCTTCTGTATCCATCTCTATTTAAAATTCTTTTCACAGTGCTTTCTGAGACAGTTCCAGGACCAGTTTCATTCCTAACATTCGTTAATTCCGTTAAACTTTGCCTTCGATTCACTTTTACCATTCGAAAAATTTTTTGCTCATCCTGTGCACTGCACTTTTTGGGTCGGCCACTTCTTGGTTTGTTTTCAACATTTTCAGTTGTTTTCTGAAGCTTCAAAAACGTATGCACTGTTGATACTGGCCTTCCGATAATATCCAATATTTCTTGTAGTGTCAAACTTACTTGTCTCAATGATAAAATAGATTGTTTCTCTTCTAAACATAATTCTTTCCCCTTCATACCCATGTTTGTTTACATACCGAAAGTAACTAATGCAGACGAAAAAATACGTCATCAACCAATCACGTGATAAATGTCCTGTCCCAGTGAAGTTTGATAAAGAGTAAGAGAGACAAGTAGAGCTTTTTTAAAAAGCTTCCCGTCTTTAGCAACAATCTTAAACTGTAAACTGATCTACATCTATCAGGCCGTATAATTCTTTTAAATTTCTTGATTTTGTATTTCTACATTAGCTTTTTACTGGCATTAGCCCTACCACGGTTGTCGCTCGGTCATCTCCGTAAACTTTGACTCGCCGAGAGCTTTCGGCAAACCTCGGCTGATTCCATTTCCTTCTTCAAACAAGAAAGGGGAAAAGAATAATAACAAATTGTAAAGCCTGTAAGCAATAAAAATCAAAATTTATTTATAATGAAGTTAAAGAGATCTTTTTATTTTTTGCTATACAAAAAATCATGTTATTAGGAATTAATTACTGCAGATTTTGTTGTTCGTTTTGTCATTTTTTTTTTAGGATTGAAAATCTTGCAAAATTGTTAAGTCGTACGAAAATTAGATCATCAGAAAGTTATCTCCCTTGCCTTGAACAGCATTTCAACCAATGAAATAATTGAAAATTTTCTCATCATGCATTTTCTACCAATCACAAAAGAGAGGAAGTTTCCGAAGACTGTAAAAAACTTCAACTATACAATACCGTCTTCCAAGGAAGACGGTAATAACTCTACTTTCGTTTCTAAAAACGATGTCTATAAAACAAACGCGTAACGGAATTTCAAATGTTTTTATACTTTTGATGTAGATTTTTAAATGTATTTTTTTAATTTTTTTTTAAAACTCAGATTAGAATAATCCGTTGCATTTTAATCCGGCACAAATATATGCGATTTATCATTGTTACCTGAGCATCCAACCATTTTATTTCTTTCTTGATATGTAGATACTGAGATTTCCCAAAAACTTTCCAGGAAGAGAGCTCTGTAACAGAAAAAATAATCTAAGATGAAACATGTGGAGATAATGTACAGTATTTAGAATTTAAAATCAACGATACAAAACAGGGGCAAAGGAGACAGGGACCTCCAAAACACTAGTAATGAGATCAGGTGCCATGTGATTTTTTTTTCATGGTCGGGAAATGACAGACAAATTCGTCCTCAATTCAGTGTATACATATAAGACTAACAATTAGTATCAAAATTTTCAGTCAGCCTTTGACTCAATGATGAAATGTATTTGCTAACAATGTCATCATATGACCATAGAACTTACCAAATGAGGACTTCATACGAGACTGCTGATAATCTTGTTTATTTAAGTTGTTTGTCAATAATTTACATCGTTTTAGAAAATTTTTATACGAAGAGCATGTTTTTGTGTTTCGAATCAACTATGATATATAAACTACGTATGCAGGTGAAGGTATTAGTACATTGCTGCATTATTGAAGTAAGATATTTGATGATTTAAATTTAAAATCATCATGTTTATCATAAAGAGTGGTTGTTAGATAACCATTAACATCTTTTTCAAGTAAAATATCCAAGTATGAAACAGATGTGTTTGACTCCTTTTTTATCTTTTATCTCAAGCTCACGAGGATATATCCTATCGCCATAAGATTGGAAGAACACTTTCTTTCTTTAAATCCATATACATGTAATTATGATGACACACGAAAAAAAAAAAAATGAGGGAAAAGAAATATATGGTTAAATTTCCGGTGCCAAAGAACATTAATCATGAATGAAAAGTGTTTGCATTTGCATGTCATTGTTGCTACTTTCCCTATATTTACACGGCAGTTTTGTATAGAATTTATGCGAATGGAATGGGTGTTCAATTGATGAATTGGAGTTTAGTCTTGGTCAAAGTACAAAAAAGTAAATATATTTTAGGCGTAATATACATGAAAGGGGCTGTAATTTGTAA